GTAATTACGTTTTTAAAAAGGGTCTAAAGCTCAAACCTAGTCTTAGCCTTTATTTGCCTAAATCAAAATCGGCTAGTCTTTCAACGAACCAAAAGAAACGCGTACAAAGAGCCGAACACAGAGAGTCAAAAAAGTATGTTGAGCAGCTTCTTACTAGTTCTAAGTCAACGACGTAAGTCTACATCTTTATTTTTATTAATTATTAGTGATGAAAAATAAAAAAAATCAATGCATGAAACAATCAATTTTTATGCCTAGAAAGGAAAAGCATACGTTTCTTTTTTCTTCTTTTTTTCATAATTACCATGTCGGGATAGTAGTATGAGGTTTTTTCCTCATAATTTACTATGGAATCACTAACACGAGAATTTCACTATCATCATGGCATGTGATTGTCTTCAAGACGAATTACATGCTAGAATATTATTTTAAAGTCGTCTACTTTAAAATGTATAATGTATGTCTTAATTGTCAATATAGATGAGTCAGATAAAATTAAATTATTGAAAGAATTTTTCACCAAGTAACAAAAAAACAAAATTTGTTTAATTTACTATGTTTGTATTTTAAGAATGATCTCCGAAGTGTAAATTAAAACGTCAATACAATTACTTTAAACTTTAATTGTGGTTTATTCCCATTTAAATAGTAATTACATAAGTATAGATATAAGACATAGATTTGAAATAGTAAATAAAGAACACGTATCTGGGACATATAGTAAGGGGAAGTCGATATAAAATATTACTACTGTAGGTTGTAGAGGTGTAGGAAGAAAACCAGTTTCTTGGTTAAAAAACATTCGTGAATGGACTCAGATACAGAATGCAGGACAATCATTCCATATTGCAGAAGATCAAGAAGCCTTTGCAATGGTGATCACCAATGTCGGATAATTGTGATATGGCACGTGAAGAAGAAGAAGAAACAAAGAACTGACGACAAAGTAGTAACAATTCGGTATGATAATATACTGAAGGGACAATAAAAAGACGCAGATCATGTATCTATATGAAATAAGAAGAAGAAGAAAAGGTAGAAAAAGAGTTTTTTTACTAACAAGGATGGCATGTAGTACATAATATTTGATCATATTTATTTCCCACCTTTCATGAATTTAAGGTTATCACTAACTACCAGATACTTCCTCCTCGTTCAAGAATTTAGCTTAGATGTGTACAAGTGTGTAGAATATCCAAAGAAGTACATTTACTAACTAGTTTTAATATTTAACAGTAATACCCCAAGAGTGTATTCAGTTCGTTTCCACTCACTTGAAATTTGCATCTCAGCGGTTCATTTGATGTATGCTACTTGATTTTTAAAGAGAAATTACCATATCTAAAAGTCAGTTTTTTCCTTTTTAAACATAAAAAATAGTCTCTGCGGGTTATTCCCTCTTGGTCGAGGGTGAAGTCGTTTGCATACCAAAGGACTTTTTTTCTTGGCACACTAATTTATATTCGTCGGTTTAATATAACTAATTTAAAATATTATATTATACACAATTAATCTATAGAAAATGTACAAAGCTCGTTTTAAAAGTTAATTATTACTTACACAAAATCGTGTATAACAAGACAACACGATTTCAAAAAGGACTTAAGAGGTAATTTTCTTTCATGTCCTTAATAAAAAATATTAGGGTACAGAGACGATACTTAAGCGGCCTTGAGAATATCTCAGTGATAACTAAATTAGTTCCTGATCTACATAGAAACAGGTAACACCATTATATAAGTCTTCTTATCCTGCTCTGTTGGTAGACTAGTTCTTTCGTGTCAGAACCTGACACGAAACGATGAAATCCGATATTATTGAAAACATTTACGGCCCGTTCACACATGGGAGTCCGTTTTACTGGTTCCTTTTTAACGAATACGTCATAAATTTATGCTCTTTACACACAGGCACTGTATAACATTCAAGGGATCCGTCATTACTGGATATGATGTGAACAGAAAACTGGCAGTGTATACGCCGCTATTGTTGTATACGTGTTGTATTGGTACTATCGTTGGAGAAGGAAGATTCGACGTTATGAATCAAAATTTTACAATTACTTTCGTATGTCAAGGATTACTTTTGACGAACTTCTTAAACTATTGGAAAAGGACTTAAAAAAGTTAGATACTAACTTTTTTACTAATAGTATCTGCCCAGAAGAAAAACTAGCGATATTTTTAAGGCGCGTACTTTTATTTTTAAAACTCAGACAGATCCACTAACGTAGCATCACTGTATACAGATTGTACTGGCGATAGTGCACTATCAGTAGGCTGTGGTCTACTAAAATAGCCCTTGGATTGATAGTGACTAGCACCATATGGAGAAAGTTGGAATATCTCGGACATATAATGAGAAACAGCACTAAATACAGGTTACTGAAGGTAATCCTACAGGGTAAAGTATTCGGAAAGCGAGGAATTGGGAGAAGGAGAATATCATGGTTGAAGAACCTGAGGAAATGGTTCTCCACAACAACAACGAATCTATTTAAAGCATCAGTTAATAAAATAATTATAGCCAGAATGATTGCCAATATTCGGAACGAATAGGCACTGAAAGAAGAAGAAGCACCATATGTTTGTGTATAGGCTGACCACTCATAAGTTGACTGGCCAACTCTCCTAGGTTTAATATTTTGTAGCAGATAAAGTTTGGTCATCATCAAGCAAGGCCAAGGACGGCAAAATACCTTTGAAGAACGAAAAATTGCAATCATCCTGCTCAATTTTCTTCGGTTTTATCTGATAGTCAATGTAGGACTTCATTTTGGCATCAATTTCATTGAAATTTCTTTTGGTTGGTGCTCTGCGTTTTGGCAAGCGAGCTAGATTTTGTTTGTCCTTTTGACTGTCATTGTCAAGTTATGTCATTGTAGTCACACTGCCATCTTCGTTTGTAGGTTGATTCCGGTTCATTCGATGTCGTGGTGTCATCTTCGATGTGTTCTTCAGTTTTTTTAGCAGAGACGCTTTTGTGCGTTTCACCAGCAGCAACTACTTTTTTCAAGAACAGCATCTGATTATGGTATATGTAGACGTTTTGCAATTATTTTTATCTTTTAGTGTTCTCACCCAGGCATCTCTCATCTGCACCTATCGCGATGGTGTATCGACTGTTAGCAATATTATTAAAGAAGTTTCAAGATGCATATGGAACAATTTAAGTGAAAATGTATGCGACTTTCTACATCAGTCGACGAATGGGAACAGCAGATAGCAAGTGGATTTAGCAAAAAAGCTAATTTTTGACACTATTTCAGAGCTGTCGACGGAAAACATATCCCACTTAAAAAAAACCACTAAATAGCGGTTCACTGTATCAATTATAAGGATTTTTTCCATCATATTATTAGCGATCGTAGACACCGACTATTGCTTTGTCTACGTCAGTGTCGGATCTTATAGAAAATAATGCGATTCATCAATATTCAAGGAGACAACATTTTGGAAAATGATGCTAGACGGCAGTCTACAAATACCAGCACCATATCCATTAACAAGAGGCTCAGAAACGAGAGTTCTTTTTGTGTTCATTGGAGACGAAGGTTTCGGATTACACGAAAATTTACTAAGACATTATACTTATATTGAAAATTAAAAATTTCATGAGACTCAAATTACCAAATAATTAGGTTTATATTATAATAATATCAAAATTAAAATATTAGCTTTGGTACTAGCTACACAACTACTAGCTAACTACTTAGCTACACAAAGGCACAAATATTTCAAGAAAGAATTGAAAACAAATTTTAAGCTTACCTACTTTTCTTTAATAATCTTTCTTAATTTATAAACAAAAGCACTGCTCTAAATAAGAATATTCAAACACTTACAGGTTTATCTCGACGTTCACTTATGTGGCACTGTGGCACCAGGTCGAACTGAAAAACCCTTAAAACTTTAACTGGAACTGATGAGCTGGATCTCTGGATGCCGCTAGCTTCTTCACCTCCCAACATCTGGAACAGTCGACCCAAGGACTGCTATTCAGCTTCTCTGGTGCTCTCTGGTTTTTTTTTTATTTTTACTCCATACTTCGAATGCTATTGTCGATCTTGTACAGAACTGGGTTACGGAACAGTTATTCAGGTCGCTAAGGGTCGTCTCCTTCGAAGCTCTAATCGTAATTAACGCCTTTTTGACGTTGAATAAAATATCGAAATAAATCTGAATGGAATATTTTTGGTGTGACAAAACAAAAGCATTTTAGTAGAACATCACACCAAAAAATATAGAGTCTATATCCATATTATTTATCTACGGTCTATATTCTTTTATCACACGTTCTAGAATCCTGATGCGTTAGAATTCACAAACAAATTCCTTAAGATAGAAGGAACTTGATCACTAAGATGTTAAATAAATTTTATAGATCAAGTAAGATATTATAGTATTTGGTAAATAACAGTTTTCTATATTTTCGCAGATTATAGAAAATTCACTTTCTTTATTTTTCTTGTTTTAAATTATGTTAGGACCTCTATTGGCCGAAAGCGGCGGGCATCTTGTTATACTTTGATCTTTTACCGACTTGAGTATTCAGCTACTATTAAATGCAAAATCTCAAATTTTAGTATACTATAATACTCTTGTATTTTTATTTTTTGATCATCTTATTCTTTTAAATAAAAACATCTCCTTTTAAATAATAAACTTAATGAAAAATCAGTTTTATAATGTTTTAATATTTCTGTTAGTTTTAAAAACTGGCGGTAAAATCCGTAATGTTTGAATTTTACCTTCTTCTAGTCTATCGAGAGAGATAAAGTGATAGCATGTATAGTGTACTGAAAAGAGACAGAACATATAAAGTCTTGGCAACATGGGAAAAATACCAACATGGCGGTTCCTTCCCCTGATTCCCCTCCCACTTGGCATGTCATCATGCTTGTGGTGTGTATTGTATTCCTATCGTAGTTGTTAATTAGGATAGTTCTTAACGTTAGATTTAAATTAATTTTAAGTTTAGTGTAAGAAGTCTTAATTATAATGGAAGAGTATGAGTACGGGTATGTATTTTCCAAATAATTTTTTTTACTAACATGCGTAGCGGTGGCGCTTAAAATCACATTTACGTAAAATTGACGGAAGTTCTGAAGCTGCCATTGTAGTATGGTAGCTTGTAGTTGGTGAGTGGCGAGTGTAACCGGCTGGATTGAAATAAAAGTAGTAAAAGTGTTTTCAAATCGGCGTGGAAAAATAGCATGCGAATGTTGCGACTAAAACAAGAGATTATGGATGATGATGAAAAGGGGTATTTACATATTTTGCCAAGTTTTTTAAGTATTCTGCTTATTAGGTCACAGCGTGTGCTTTAATATTTTTCACATATTTTTTAAGTGGTGAAACAAGTTCCACGACCAATCTTCATGTAATTAGTTATAATGTGAAAGTTATGTGCCTTAATATACATTTTAATTACTTATACTCAATGATGCGAGTGTTTTGTTCATCTATCAAAATGCTGCTAGCGTTCACCGACCCCGAACGAATGCCTAGAATCTTATGAATTGTAAATAACCGTTTCATTTTCAAATGTATTTATGTTATTTTTTTCATTTTGTTGGGGTCACAACGGTATAAATAGTTTTAAATTGAAAATGAAGTACATATTTGATTTTAAACAATACTTAAAAATTATAGGTTGGTTTTAGGTTATGTCACTTCCTTTTCATTTGCATGGCTGCTTCAAACCACATTTTAAATTTTGGTATCAACCTAGATTCATTATTTCTAAAATATGGAATTTGTGTTTAATGATGAGAAACAACACATTGAGTAATAAATGTGGGTTACTTTGCAACATAGAAAACATGTTAAATTAAAATAATATGTATCAGAATTATTGAAATTTTACAAAATTCATATTACATTATATTTATAAACTTTATTTTGAAATCTAAAATAATATAGGATTAAAAATTGTGATGTTTAATATAGTATCTAGAAGTGTTGAGACTAAAAAGAAATTATGTATGTTCACTATGTGATTTGATTACAATCTATATGCTCTATTTTACATTCTTTCTATTTTAATTTCGTAAGAATGGAAGCTACTATTTTTTTTCTTTAATTTTTGTTTAAGCTTATTTGTGGTTGTCCAAGTGGCCTTTGGTAATAAATTTACTTATGCCTTACATTATTTCATATGACTCCTACCTTGTTTTCATACCGAAGTTAGGAATGAAGAATAGATATTAGTCCTTGGACAGGATCCCATGTTAAATGTAGGTTTACAAAGTCAATAGTGCATTTCTTTCTATTTGTTTTTATCCATGTAAGTACTGGATTAACTATCATGTTCCAATACATTTTCCATAATACAAATCTCAGATATTAATCAATAGCTCTAAAACATAAAATAATTGGGGACGAAGTGATTATCTATTACCTGTATTCTTCAAATTTTGCAATAAACAAGATACCTGTATGGATGGTCTAATACTAATTTGAGATTATTGCTTAAAAAGGGAATAGGTGTAATCAATGCAAAAAAAATTATTTACGTTGCAGCCATGAACCCTCTCGTCTCTTGTCATTTTAATATTCACAAATAAATGATTTAGTAACACTTACATCTTTCGTATTACTAGTCTTTTTTTCAACACTGGTAATAAAAATTAGTATAAAAAAATTATATGTAGGCAATACTAGTTAAATACCCGAAAAAATCTTTTTTGCTTCACCTAGAATTTTCCAAATACCAGCATCTTCTTTTTTACATTTAAAGTGATTGTTTCACTGACTTATTTTACCACTCATAGTTAATATGAAAAAAACTGAATTAGAAATGAATTAAATTCTTGAATCATGATAATTCTTGAATAGACAAAAAACTATATGCTTGCCATGTTCTCACTTCTAAATAAATATACTAAATATAAAAGATGACTAAAAATTTACTGTTTCTAATAGTATATGACATACTTGTACCTCAAGCGCATTTGTACATCAAAACTTATGATGCAAATGTATATTATAAGTAATCTAAGCGAATTCATTTGCTTTCATATGTTATATTTATATTACCCTTCATACTTGTATAAACCCATCTGAATCAGATGCTTGCTAGCTCAAAAAGGTCTTCTAAACCCACACCAAACATCTGTTCTTTCACCATAGGCCCTATCGAAGCTGTGCTATTCTTCTTTTTGAATAAGTATAGTCAAAATGTGGCCAATATAAAAGATTCTACAATAGGTCACTGGATGTTTATGTCGATAAACAACTCAGTATTACCCAAGTAGAATACAGTATATTTTACAACACTGGGTGTTTTTAAATTAATGCCTAAGCTTTTGGGATTTGGTTAGGGACTATTATAAATTAAAGTATTTCTTTTTGGATGGAATAGGTATCATAATATATACATACTGGGATTTTTTATCGTACCTGTTGTATTTTTATGATAAATGTTTGATCTAACAATCCCTTTCAAATAGAAATACTTTTATAGATACCATCACATAAATTGTCTAAAATAATTTGGAATCTGCTGTATTAAAGTCATTAATTTGCTGTGGTGGCATTACAAGTATGTGAATTGTTCTATTGAACAGACTACTATAATTTCCTTTGGTTTGGCATATTAAAAATGAAGTAGTGTAGTATCACTTTTGATTGAGATGACATCCATGTTTAATGTACAATGTGCATGCAATGTCATTTATTGTTGAATCAAAAGTGTAAAATGTCTTGCCAATGACTCCCAATTAATTTCTAAAAAATTGTTCTGAAGCTATTTTCTTGTGGTATCGTAAAGTTATGACTATTTTAATGGGAATAAACCACAATTGAGGACCCTAGAGGAAAAGGGGTATAAGTGACAAAAAATAAATTTCGAGTAAATGCGGTTCAAAGTTCAGCTTTCACTATAATTGCCACGATTTCTTAATGGTAGATTTTCTTCTCCGGTTTAGTAACTGTATGTATTATTATTCTTAATTGTAACAAAAAACATGATGTTATTAACATTACTCATTTTGGAGCCATTTTTAGGCTACTAAGTAGCACTTGTACCCCTTTACTTCTAAGAATTGTAACATAAACCAAAACAAATTTAAAAATATTATAAAGTTTTTGTACAAATTTATTCTTTACCATAACACTAATACATAATTGATTTATAATTCATCGGCATCAGTGTCGTAATGATGTTCCAACTCGTTATTTTTGACTTCCGCTTCTTCTGAGTGTATAAGTTCTCTAGCTTGTTGACCATCATGTCGCAGATTTGTGAAAAATTCATGGTAAATTGGAGGTACGTAGCTAAGCAGCTGTTGCAGATTTGAATACTTGGCCTACTTAATTAGAGGCCTTCTGTCAATCGGTACTGGTAAGAGATCTGGCAGAAGGACAGGGTTTTTGCCAGATCGAGTGGATTTCATAGATAGCTCACTAAACTCTTCCATGCTACCTCCAGCTGATTTCTTGTAAAACAGGGTTAAAAGTTTGTCCTGCTGAAAATGTAACCATTGCATACTCTGTATTCCACTTACGTTCTTCTTGAAGTATGGCGCAAGTGTTTGAAAATCTAAAAAATCGTCATTTTCCATCTGTACTGTAAAGAACTTTCTACTTGTAGAAGTTACCAGTTCCATCCAATGTTGTGGTACATACAGGTCCTTTTTGGTTCTTTTCTTTTTTAACTCTATTAAACCAAAATTTTGGTCACACTCATTATAAGAATGGCCACTTATAAAAAATCGATGATCCACTGTTTGAATATTAGTGTTTCTGACGATGTAAAGCCAAAATTTGACTGTCAGATGACTCTTGTTTTGACCTCCACAATTGTCGCCAAATGCAGTTATGTGTTTTACAGATGGGGGAAGGCTTCTGATATATTTTAGGAGACAAGATGATATTTCCTGACATCCACGTGACCCCTGACCTTCGTGCCACATAAAGAAGTGGGTCGTTCCATTCTGTAGGTTATGGACCCCTAAGTTCTTCTTCTTCGTCTAGCCATTCACGTCCACATCTGAACATAAGCCTCTTCAAGTCTTCCTTTCCATTGTTTTTTATTGTACGCTACTTGTAGCCAATTTTTCCCGGCAGTCCTTTTCAGATCATCTGTCCATCTCATAGGAGGCCTGCCTCTGGGTCTTTATGTTGGTATGGTCTCCAGGTTAAAATTGATCTGTGCCATTTGTTTAAGTAACCCCTAAGTTATAAGTCCACAATTGCCTTAGATAGTATGCTTTAGAAGTTGACACATTGGGAGTTGGCATAGTTTTTTGTAAGTCGAAGATGAACGCAACTTTGCTAGCATCCTTTAGGTAATGAAACTCTTCTTTTGCTATTCTGACAGCTTCCGCCTTACGCAAGTGTAAGTCTTTTTCTCTCTAAGCTAAATCTTTCTTCTGACGAACCGTGATTTATTTTTATCTGAAATTAGTATTCCTTAAATTACCTTCAGTTTTTAAGTTACGTACATCCATCTCGTTCAAAGCTTCAAACAAACAGCACGAACTCTTCTTAAAAGCACTGTAGTTAATAATAACGTAAAACCCTGCAGTTTACAATAAAGTAATACTTTAATGACAAAGTAATATTGCTTTAAAAGAGCTATTTCACTACCCATCCAAAATAATAATAAACTCAACTAACAGTCTGACACAGTGGAACAGGGGTACAAGCGAACTCGTATCTTTTCTCCTCCAAGCCCTACTCATAGTTGGCTTGGAGGTTAAGTAACTTGTCGCTAGAAAGAAGCACCTGTTAGATTTATCGCTTAGATCTCTTTACCACCAAATAGAATGAAATATTTCCAGTTCGTAGTGCATTTACCTCAATATTTACAAAAATGTCACTTATACCCATTTTCCGCTAGGGTCCTCAATTGATGTTTATTGACATTTTAATTTCTACTTCAGGAATAATTCTCTAAATACTTTCTGAAAAAACTTTGAGAACAATTTCTGAAGTGGAAATTGAACTGTCTATAAACTTCCATTAAACTTCAAATTATTGTTATTCAGGTCAATAATCAGTTATGACACTCCACATAACCAAACTTTTGTATGACATTTAACATAGGCTTAAATTGTGTTAGAGTTGCCAAGTCTCTAGTTTTTTCATAATCTCACATAATATAGAAATATGCACTGAAATTATATAAAAAATCATAGATTTTAATTAAATTAAAGATAATAATCAAATACATATACTATAAAATTGTGCTTATTTACAATATTTAACTGCATTTAAAGTAACAGAAAATATTTGTTTTATACTTATTCAAAACCTCCTCATAATACAAATTATAATTTCGTAAAAGTAGCTTATATTTTAAACCTTCATATACAATTTACAAAAAAAAATAAGTTTTATGCTTATTTAAAATTTGTAGCTTCTCATAACACAAATTATTATTTCATAAAAGTAACTTTATATTTCTAACATTCATATACATATTTTACTAAAATAAATATGGCAACACTGTGAAGTGGTGCCTTGAGGAAAATATATTTGGTTATGTAGAGTGCCCTAAACTGATTATTGCCCATTATTCCCATTAAAATAGTAATTCATTTCTAAAAAGTTACAATTCCCATTATGATTACAGAGAAATAGAAAAACTACTGTAGGTGCCAAAGCATAGGTGGAAAGGTTAGCTTTGCATTGAGGGGGTGTAGATTTTGACATCAGGAAGTAAACAATGATTTCAAACAGTTCATTGACCAAATTTTTTAAGTAGATTAGCCCATTTACTCAAACAGATTACAATTCTCTTAGTGTTAACAACTCTAGGAATAATAACCCCTATTTAATATTCAACAGATCTCATCAAAGATCATCATTCACAATCATTTAAGATCAGTTATTAAATAATGTACAATATGTCTCAAACTATTAGTGTTAAATAGTAAACCATTTATTTGTTTATCTTCGGATTTTAACACATGTTGGTCTAATAAAAATGGTGATCAGAACGTTTAAAGAGGAAAAACCTAGATGATATACTGTAAGACATACTGTAATTGATATGTTACATGAGTCGTGAACAATTACCAAATGACCAAATATCAACAACAAAGGTGTCAACTAAGGCTCATAATAATACTATGCAATGTTCTGCAAACAAAAAGTTCCTAAGTGTGAAACTTGTTTTGTACAAAAACAGCAAATTGTAGATAATATTTAAGATGTTTAACAGTATATTCAAAAAAGATAATCAATTGTTTGATTAAGTTTGGGTCTAGTTAATAACTTAGTAAAATATGTACTCCAGAAACTCTGTTTAAGCTTATGCTATAGCTATAGGGATGTATATGTATATATAACCTTCTCTAAGCTTTTTGATGTTTAGCAAATGTCACTGGCTTATTGTTTTTTACAGTTCTCAATAATTCCTCTCTGGCTGCTGTCTTTTAGATATTTTTACCAACTGTTTCATTCTAGCCTTGTTTACTATTCTATTCCGCTTTTGTTCAAGAATGCTTAACTGATTGCAAACAGTTGTTATTTATGTGGTTACTTCTAATTATGTCTAATGCCACCCTTATGTATGGTGTTTTACTTCTTAAATTTAGGATTTTTCCATGTCACTAAGAACACCTATAAACTATGTCATAAAAAATCTAGAGTTCTTAATACCCTACCTCCTTAGTTTACAGTTAAGGCCCTCCCTAATGTCAACATCACAATTGCAACTTATGAACCCCATTTTCAGTTATTTAAAAAAATCAATGTTATTTCTGGATTTTTTAAAATTAACTGTAAAGCATTGAATCATAATGATCATATTCGAATTATACCAGAAAAAGCATGGCTCAGTGGGTCATTCTCCACTTTACATGATTGGAGGGGAAGAATACCATTGTAATAAGCAAAGTCTGCTATGCTACTTGCCCTGTTGCACTTGCCACTCTATTAATTATTGGGACTTTTGACCTGCAAACTTCATTGTCAAGACAATATATTTTAAACTTTGAGTTGAGGTAATTTAAGTTAATTTTTTATCACTACTTTAGTTTTTTGTCTTAATATTATACAAAATATAAATAGATATACATATTCTCTTAGATGTAATTGTCTTACTTTGCCTCACCTCATCTTATCTTATGCCTCTTTCAGGTTATAAATTACTTTTATGCTATTATCATATTTGTTCATACTGTAGTTCTAGTCTAGTACATGCTTTGACAAATGAGCAAATTGACATATTCCAGTATTTTGCCCTTTTATTCTCACTGGGGGCTGATACAAATGACCTCTAGATAAATAGGTTTAATCAGATATGTTGTGTTCTAGATGAAATTTATAATACATCAATTAGCATAGATATGACAATCAAATTTTGGTAAAAAACTATATGATCTTTTCTTGGTTGAATATACTACTAAAACCCTCGAAAATAAAAAAGTACTTAGCCTGCAGAACTTGTCCAACTATAAATGCCCAAAACACCATCCTAACAAAATTTCAAAAACAAAAACTGTTGGCGATCATATATAATTTATATAGTTTTTTTATTTGCAGACAGCCACACCAAAGTAGCATAGCTCCATACATTGATGACTCTCATCCTGGATAGTAAATATTTTTGCTTTTTATTATTAATAAAAAAAAGTGCAGATTGAAACTGTAAAATAAAAATATGTGAAAAATTATATTTTAACTTTTTCCAATTAAGTATGTGATATTGTTCAAAATAAGAAATTGTAAACATGTGATGTCACTTTCATAACAGCCTTAAAAAACAGATGTTTTGACTAATTTCTACAAAACTTTTAAAATGTCACCTGAATCTCTTATAAGCAGAATACTATTTAACATAAAAGGAAAATCTACACATTTATTTTAATATCGTTAGTACCATAAAATGTGAAGATTTCCTTGGTCTTCAGTTGTATAATCTTGATTTTCTTTCCAGCAAGCTCTTTGTGGGAGGATTATCCTGGGAGACGACCCAGGATAATTTACAAAGATACTTCTCCAGATATGGTGAAGTAATTGACTGTGTAGTCATGAAGAATGCAGAATCTGGAAGATCGAGGGGATTTGGCTTTGTCACATTTTCAGATCCAGCCAATGTAAATGTTGTTTTACAGAATGGACCACATACTCTGGATGGAAGGTAAATATTAGTTTATTTAAGATGTTTTTATACAATTAATATATTTTGCATATCAATCAATGCCTACTATTTCCCTAAAGGTGACTTATCTGTTATTATTTTCAATTTTCTTTCTCATACAAAGTACAAGTTTGTATTTAACCCAATAGTGTCAAGATTAATAAATTATTGATTTTGTATTATTTCTTGCAATATTATTAATGGACTGTGTTTAAATAATAAAAAACTTAATATTTTTTTCTAAGAAGTGATGCTTTAAAGTAACATAGACACTTACACTACCTAGTTTTTGTTGAAAATAATGTACCAAAAATTAAAGCATTTGGGATACAGTAAAGAAGACAATAAAACCAAAATAGAGATTTATTCATAAGTGATAACTATAAAAATTTACAATATCGAGAGTAAAACATTATAAAAGCTCATACAAGAAGCGCATATGCCCATATTACATTTTAAACACATTGTTCTAAAGATAGATTTGCATGTTTTAGACGCACATTTTTAGATGTAAATTTAAATTGCAATACACTTTCTCTGCCAGTTTTATTATACAATATTTAACTATTTTGTAATGCAGCAACGAGCATCCATGTAAAAATTGGCCAATACCAATTTTTGCCATGAATACTGATCCAGTAGCAACTTACATTATGGTCCATTTGATCAGTTCCTCCCATAAATGTGTTATACTTGGCAATCAATTTGAGTCTAGAAACAAGTATATTTGTTTCAATTGAGTTTCTGAGAAAATCTTACTTGACCTACTTCTCAGGATGATGAAATCATTCTTACTACTGCATTATCCATCCACCGGACATATAATTGTCCATCATTTCATTCAATAGCTGTTTTAAAATAACCTTGATCTTTTTTCATAAACTCATTTTTAGGAGTTAACGGACATCCTCTGGGGACTCTTGTTTTCGCAAATGGTTCCTATGGCGTTATAACCATGAGATTTTAAAAATGAATATGAAGCCGTTAAGAAAACAAATTATCTATATAAATATTGTATCTTAGGTTGCTTTTCTCAGTCAGATCGTCTAATAGTAATAACAAGGAGCTTTTCCAAATAGTTTTTCATAATCATTATTTGATTTTGGGTTTTTTCCTTGGTATAAGTCAAAGTTAACTAAATACCCATTTTTTGTGTTCACACACCACATTTTGTATATAAATCTAATTGGCTTTCTTCTAATAAACTGCTTGCAGCTATGTGTGCCAAAGTATTTTATCATACTTTCATCGTAAGATAAATTTTCTTTGGTACAAAATTTTCAACACTCTTTTTTACTTTTATTAACTTTTTTTGAGCATGTCCATAAGAGATCGTATTTTTCACGTCTTGTCATTTTGGTGGATTTTGGTATTACCTGAACAGTGCAAAAACTGGCAAATCTGTAAAAATCAATCTCTTCGCATGGCCTTGGATATTGCATATTTTTTTATATCGTCATTATGATCCCAATAATATCGCTTAGATGGCAATTGATTATACCCACTTATATATAAAATAGTAATAAACAAACGGATCTCGTCACCTGTTATCTTCGATTGGGACAATTTAAAAATAATGCATAGTGGCGACTCTTCTCCACTAAATGTTAAATAAATGCATTATTTACAAATTGTTTAAATATTTTGATTGGAGATATTTCTTCATATTTAGAATAGTCAGGTTTTGGAAATGCCGATGCACGTTCTTTGTCAAAGTCTGCTCCCTTCGGCCATTGAGGTTGATTTCGAGGCTCAAGAAGTTCTTTCATTGTTTGGTAGTCATATTTCTGCTCCGCCACGTAATTGATGGAATGAAAGGTTATCTATCAGCCTAAAAATGGTAGGGTATTAACATTACATTACAAAGGTCATACATTTCTTATTATAAAAGATTTGATTACTATATCACTACATACCCTCCTTCAACTTCAACTCCTGAATCCTTGCCTGTGTCTACATTTGTATCTGGAGATTCTACAAAAATATCACCATCCAGTTCATCGTTATAAATTATATTAAGGGATTGAGCAATCGAAAAACCTCATCTAGAACAAAAATAATAAAATTTAAAATATAGGTAGTACAAGCGCCTAGCACTGTTTTGAGGCAATGGCTGGGTTGCAACAGGTACTGACAAATTATTTATCAATTTATATAAATCATTTAAAATATGATTTGTTAGATGTATAATCGGCACAAATTTAGCATATATAAATAATACATATTATTTATATCGAAATTATGATACTTACTCAAATCAAATACTGTAAATGCACTAAACTAACAAAAAGTTCTTAACACTGCAAATAAATATGCATAACCGAGTATTGGCGATTATGGTTCATGAATTGACAAGGTCTCACCTCTGCCATTTTGAAGGGCATGTAGTGATCATGAGTTTCTTTAAAATGGTTACATCCAAAAGATTCTGTTCTTAACCATTCTATACCATCCCTTTCATTCAAGAGATCTTTCTTCTTGTTTTCGTGTTAAAAATATTAATTGCTTTTAATAAATTCTCTGTATTTGAAGTAATTATTTATGTCAATTATCATATTCTTTCTGTTAGAAAATACAATAATTTCTCGATATTGGTGCAGCTTGTTAAATGTTTCGTTTTCAGTTCTTCCAAGATCAATCTCCGAATCCAGATAGGAATGTCCCACTTCAGGACGCTTGTGATTGATTATCTTAAAAATTCCTCTCACAAGGTATTGGTTAATGCACACTGTCAAAAGTTATTGTTCTGGCCTGAGAAGGAATCAGTCTAAATAATAGCGACATTTGATATTAATATCAGATGTCGCTATTTGCATATCCATTCGAAGCATGTTAGAGTTGCTTCCTAAGACAGAAGATATTTATTTTCACGTTCAAAGCGACTATGAATTGCCGTTCTGACGAGGCCTATTAGGCCGAAATACATATAGGCGGCTACATAGACGCACTATACGTGAGATTAAAACTTAACTGTCTTTTCCTTTCTTTAGAAGTGTTCAGTAACAGTAATGGTATGGTTTTTTGTACATCTAATGTAATGTACACAGTGTTTGTTGTACTTCTTGCTATGTCTTATATCACTTTTTGGACTTTTAAAGCCAACTTTCAATTTTTTATCTGTTTGTCGTTAGCAGTACTTGCAAGCAGCAAACTACATAAACAGTTTTTAACAGCTGACTAGGACATGAAGGGGTATGATGCACACTTGTTGTAAAATTGTTATGTTTAGTGCATAAATGACATACAATCAATATTTTGGCACATACATATTTTTATATTTAAATCCTAATTTACTTGCCAATTCATAAAGGAGGTATGCCAGGTGTCTTAGTAACATAACTCCTCTGTGCACAAGAAATAGTTTTGTGTGATTATTTTTATGAATGTGTAGAATAGATATGTTTTTATTGTTATATAATTCCTTTATTCGTCAGAAAAAAATTGCTTCCTTTGGACACTGGATATAATATGTGCTTGATAATGTTAGCTATCCCCTTCATGCCAAGAAAATTTACATTTTATGAACATGTACCTTCTTTATCACCCCAGTATCTCAGTAAATCAATTCTCTAGAGGACCGAAGTCAGTCTCAAAAAAATTATCTTCATCAAACAATTTCATTCCCACTGCTTGCAGGATTTTAAAAAAATTGTTACATAATCCTTATATGATCTCACCTCTCAATTTATAAATGGCCCATATCGAAGCTGTGCTGCTCTTAATTTGAACATGCTCAGTCAAAATTGTGGCCCAGATTAAGAACTCTACCTTGGTCACTGGATATTTGACTACAATAAATACTTCAGTATACTCAAGTAGAGTACAGATTTACCATTAAAAACCATTATATTTTACATATACTGTAGTATTCAGTTTTTAACACGTTAATCGCCCAAATGAAGCGAAAAATATCCCACCCCCAGGCCCAACTTAGTTTTTCTAGTAAATCATTAGGTTTTTACCTCGGATATGATGTACTGGCTATTATAAAGCGCTACATTAAAAAGTTGTCTAAAAATGTATTTTGAAAATGACACCCTACTTATGGGTTTCAGATCCTCTGATGGCCGAGCGCCGCGAAACCCGAGTATAGGTTGTCATTTTTTTCGAGTTCTAACAAGTCTGTGTGTGCTAAAATTCCAGTTGTTTTGTTTAGTCTACAATCCATTCGTTGAAATTACGGCGTGTAATAAGGTTGGTTGTGAATTATATAAAAGTGTATTGTGATTTGAATCGTAATAAAATGGAGAAAATTACGAAAAGGGTCAAGAGAGGACTTTTGAAATTGTGGAATGAGTTATTATCAGACGAAGAACAAGAGACTTTAGACTTTAGAGATAATTCTTCAGATGATTACTTGCCCAGTAATTCTTCATCAGATATTGACTCTGATGAAAGTGCATTGAATTTAGAAGCAAGGAAGAAAAAATTAAAAAGGTAATTATTATGTGAAACTTATCACCAAAAAACATGATTAACTTATTTTCCTTTTTGTTGTGTTGTTTACGGCTTAAAAAAATATTTGTACGTAGTTCAGTTCTAGTTAACCATTTTTAAATCTAAATAAAACGTTTCAATGTTTCTACAACTATAGTTCAAACTTCAGGATTTTTTCAACTAAAATATAATCACTTTTAGGTTCCCTATAAAAGCAAAGATTTCTATTGATGAGCTTCCGCCCAACACCTCAATACCTTCAGTTTCCACCATTAACTGCGAAACAGCTATAAATGCAAGGTCTGATGTATTACAGTATATATCTTCAAGTAGTGATTCTGATGATTTTTTAGAAGAAACAAATCCGAGAAAAAAAACTAAAAGGTAAATATAACTTTATTTTGGAAGCAAGTAAATATGCTCATTTTTTAAAACGTTTCTATATACTTGGATTGGTCTTTGTAACTATGTCACTATATCTGCAAATTTTGTAATCCATTTTAAAAATAGTTCTATGCTACCTAGGCACCTGAAATTTTCATGACACCAGAAAATATGCCTCTAAAATGTCGATTACAAAATTCTTTTATGACATAGAAATTGAAACAACAAAATAGTTTATAATTTTATATTGGGTCCTATAAATTATGAAAATGTTTTATTATAAAAAGTTCTTTTTTATACAAATGTAATTATGTTGTCCTTTCTCCAGCCGATCAGTCAGTTATAGTTGTTTTCTTTTTAGATCATGTAATCCAAACAATGTTGAAATGACTACGCCTATCCTAGAAATAAGTCATCCTGATGCGCAGCCTTCTACTTCTAGAGGCCAAAGGTCCCGATAATTCTAAAAGAGCAACGTCAGTCCTCTGTTGATAAAGTCATCGATGAAGTTATAGCTCATTTTTGTCCCATGCAAATTGAAAATGAAAATGAAGAAGAGCTTTTACAAGATGAACTACACTGGTTTCCTCCGAATGGTTCCCATTTAAAAAATTTTAATTTTGATGTAGATCAAGTCGGTACTACAGCACAGATAGCTGGATGTTTTCTTACAAAGGCACCATATGATTTTTTCAAGATATATCTCAGTGATGAACTTCTGGATTTAATTGTAGTGGAGACCAATAGATATGCTCAACAAACCAAAAACAAACCTATGGCAGTTTTCTCTGCGATTACACAGATGGAAAGATACTAACAGGGACGAAATTACTACATTCTTTGGAATTGTAATGTATATGGGTCTAGCAAGGTTTTCAAAAATGACGGATTACTGGTCTAAGAATCCATTTATATAGCAATCAGGTATCGTGTAAAATGTCAAGAAACCGATTCGAATTAATTCTCAGAATGCTACATTTCAACGATAATGAAACAGTTGATAAAAATAACCGTTTGGGAAAACTAAGCCCTTTATTAGAAAACTTGACAAATAAATTCAAAGAGGTCTATATTCCGGAAAAATCTGTGTGCATAGATGAAACACTGGTACCCTTCAGAGGGAGATTGTCATTCAGACAATATATAAAAAATAAGAGGTTCAAATTCGGAATAAAACTGTATAAACTCTGTTGTAAAGACGGCTATACCTACGATATCAAAGTATACTGTGGACAAGATAAAAATTCAGATAAACCTGCTACAGTTTCAACTGTTTTATCCCTTATGTCGCCACTTTTAGATCACGACGCATTTTATATACGGATAATTACTATACTAGTGTCGCATTAGCGCATGAACTACAAAAGCGTAAAACGCATCTTGTCGGTACTTTAAGGAAAAGTAGAAAAAACAATCCAAAGGATGTAGAGACCCAAAAATTAAATAAAGGAGAAATTTACGCAAGAGAAAGTAATACAGGGGTAGTTGTTCTAAAATGGCAGGATAAACGTGATATTCTTTGTCTCAGCACTATTCATACTGACACAACCACTAACTATACACGAAGAGGAACAGACATAGAAAAGCCATCTCTTATAGTTGACTATAATTCGTGTAAGTCATTTATAGATCTATCCGATCAATTGAAATCATATTCTTCCCCTTTGCGTAAAGGGATCAAGTGGTATAGAAAACTTGCATTTGAAATATTACTTGGCTCAGCAGTAGTAAACGCTTTTATAATATACAAAACAGTGACAAAGGCCAAAATATCAATTACGGAGTTTAGAGAGAGTATTGTTCTAAGTATGTTACAATTCCATGCAATTGAGCCGAAGGTGCCGGAAAATGATAACAGAAAGCATATTTTACATGAAGTTGCTTCAAAAGATCGTCGAAAATGTGTAGTATGTTACGCGAAAATAAGCGCCGAAGAAGGCCGAAAAACCGCTCAGAAGAAGGGGCCAAAATCAAAATTTTCATGTGATGCATGTAATAAAGTTTTATTGTTTGTCATGTTTTTTTGATGTTCACCATTATTCTGTATAATTAATAAAAACTGTGTGTATTATTTGATTACAATAAAAATATTTTTCATAAATCCTTATAATTTTTTTGAAAAATCTTTATTGATAGTAAACACATAAAAAGTGCCGAGCTCATTCAATATATTACCTGCCAGGCCCCTCTGTAAAAACTTTCATATAGATAAATGTGTTTCGAAGCACGACAGTTGGGTTACAGGCTTTTATGTTAACGCTAGTAGTGAAGGTTGCCCTATGGGTGTCGGGGCGTGTACGACCACAGCATCTGAAACCCAAATGTCGGGTGTCATGGCGATTAACGTGTTAAGTATAAGTTATGTTAAATCATATGTTAAATTTATTTAGTTTATTTGTCATCCTTAATCTGATAGTCTGTGTTCAGTAATCCATTTTAGATACATGAACAAATTACATATTATCACATTAAATTATTGGTTTACAGATTTGCAAATCAATTTATTTATTTCATGTTCTCTTTCATTTTTAAATTCATATTTTCCAGTATACTGACTACATAATTTGATAATTTGGGACAATCACTAGATTTGTTATAAATCATTAGTAGTAGATAAAATCTACTTTTTGATTGACTTTATTTTGTCATTATTGATAATTTTCTATTTTTAATGTTTGGATAAACTTTGTTGTTCCCCAAGTATACTTATTTATCCAGTTTATTTGGTTTATTACATTTCTTTGATTGAGCTGCATTAATTTTTAACAGTTGTTTTACTAATCCTTAAATATTTATATAAAAGCTGATTGATTCTGCTTTCTAATGATTTTTCAAATGCATTTTACAAAGCTATTTCCTACAATTTGTTTTATTTTCTTAGGACAATTGATCCCAAACCATGCAACCCAAGAACATTGCAGAAGCCAAAGAAAGGTGGGGGTTATCCCAAAGTATTTTTGGGAGGTTTGCCATCGAATGTTACTGAAACTGACCTCAGAAGTTTTTTCACAAGATTTGGAAAGGTTATGGAAGTAGTTATTATGTATGATCAAGAAAAGAAAAAATCAAGAGGTGAGTGATTTAACACTGGAGTGTCGAGTGCATGGTTTGAATACTATTTTTGTTTCAGGATTTGGTTTCCTATCCTTCGAGGATGAGGAAGCAGTTGATAGATGTGTACAAGAGCATTTTGTTAATTTAAATGGAAAGCAGGTAAGTTGATTTATTTGGATAAGTTGATATCATTATATTTTCATTTATCTGCCATCATCTGGGCCAATTTAAAATTATCACATTGAGTGCCATACAAGACCAATATGGTCTCACCAATATGGCAAAACAGTGTATGGGACCTTTTTCTTTGTATATATGGTGGTACTCAATGTGTTAAATAGCAACTATTGTAGCTTGTATTGTCTTTAGCATTCATTATAAATAAATGACAATAATTCATGTAGTGATAATATTCCTGTAATATGTTGATTAAAAAGGCCCTTTCGAAGCTGTGCTATTCTTCATTTTGAATATACATAGTCAAAATGTGTCCAATATAAAAGATTCTACAATTGCTCACTGGATGTTTATTTCAATAAACAATTCAGTATTACCCAAGTAGAAAACATTTTCCGATAATCATCTTTCTTATCTTGTAGAAATGCTTGGCATAAAGTAGTGGCTCTCAGTAGATGATTCATAAATCATCATTGTTCATAAATGAGTTCATCATTCTTTGCACTTACATAATTTAAAATTTAATTCAAACTTACCTAAATTAATTTTATATTACCATGAAATTGGCTTTACGTAATTTTTATCATTTTTATTTAAAAGATTTTTGACATAATGTGGATCTATTCCACTCGGGGATGTTTTGGTTAATAACTGATGAGGATATTATTCTAGCTTCCATAGTTTTGACAGTTATCCTAGTCACGCGTCTGGTTTGACAGATGCGTTTAGGAAGTGGTTAATAAAACCATATTATAAGTGTGTAGTGGATTAAAACCTTTTGTGTTTTTAAAAACTAAAGTGTTAAATTCAATTTTCTACAGCTCAATAGAAATATAAGAGAGCAGAATAAATGGGCATTCTTCCTGCAAAGTTCCTCTAGAGTCTGGTGATCAACTTGCATGAAATGAAGTTTCATGGAAGTTCATGTCTTTCTTCCTATAAAGACATATCATCAAAGAATGTAAGCTTTGAGGAATTAAGAATGGGAGCAAACATAGATGTAATCTCCTCTCACTTCTGTAGTTATTGACAGGGGAATTAATACAATGTACTATTATGTCTCTATTTCTCTGTCATTAAGTTTGTCAGTATACTTTGATTTTTGTCTTATTCAAGGTTTCAACATTGAGATTAGAAAGTTTAATCACCTCAAATATTTTCGTGTGTATTTATTAAATCAAATTTTTTCATGATATGTCTTTTTGAAAAACTTATTGATAAAAGGTCATTCTAAAAATATGCTTTAATGTGGAACCATATCTTGTTGAACATTTAGTAAGTATTTAAGATTTCCTATTTGATTAAAGCTAGGATGTTGATAGTAAAATTATTTTTATTGATACAAATGGTGTAAGAAAATTTGTTATCAGTTATCACTAGTTATATATTTTGATTGAAACAGTTTAACATTTCAAAATTGGTTATTATGGTATAGAAAAAATATATCAGCTTCATTGTTAACATTACTTAATAATTCATTTTTGTACAAGATACCCAAAAAGTAAACCATTTGATCATAATTGTGAGTTAAATAATTTTTTGCTTTTGTTACACATTACATAAATGTTTGTATAATATCAAAAATTAGTAAAGATGCCACATACTCAATATGTCTAGAGCTCTTTTTAATCCAAATAGTTTAGAGTCGAATCTTCTACCATTACTTGTCAAAACCGAATTTCATGTGTTTCTAAAGCATTGCTTTCTGATAGGAAAAGTACTGTTTAAGCAAAAAAAAAATAATTAATAGGTGGTATGCTCACTTTAAAGCCAATCAATCGTACCTCAAATGAACTGAAACTGTGTGGGTAACTTGAAGAATAAACTCTTAAAGAGGCAACATTGTCTCACTATCAAAAATAAAAGACTATCCGGGGAGTTTTTTGTAACTGATTAAGCACAGTTTATCTGGAGTTTTTGCGCTGATAAGATACAGGTGTTAAAGTGTGGACGCGCCACTTCACTAAGAACTCAAATCACTAGCAAGTAGATGGCAGCAGGTAAAAACCATCACGCAAAAGCAAGTGACCAAAAGCGCAAAACTAATGTAATATTGGTTTTTGTATTTTTCATCGATTATCTTGAGAAAGGAAGAAAAATAGAAATATGGTATAAAAGTAAAAGAAGAAAGTAAAAGGAGTTGAATCATTCTACAAAAAAATATCAAACTGTAGTTTTGGAATGAATGTATCCAGCATACAAGATGATTAAATTAAATTTTACCTTGAAGTTGTTGCTTTATTAGTTTGGCTTAGGAATTGTTAACTGAAGGGTCATATTTTGGTCAAAATTCTAAGAGTTTGCTGGAATATAAACATAAATATGTTTTATATATAATGCAAACATGTTTTGCTATTTTAAAAAGTATCCTATAGTGCTATCTTCACATTTGCTTGAATCGTGTCTATGTCATCGAAATGTTGCTCTTTAAGTGACATTTGTAAACAAAAAAAAACTTGCAGGGTTCTATGTTGGGATTCTTCAGAGACTGACAGACTTGTGTAACTTTGTGTTTTGCCATTAACTGTTGCCTTCACCGAAGATCCAATGTCTAGCTTATTATTATTTGCAGTTTTCTTGTTACTGTGTCACACAATATTTTTAGCACTAACGTCAAATTTTTTGTTTGTATTATAACCTGTTCAATCATATTCATGGTACATAACAGTTCCATAAAAAACAATCAACAGGACTCAGGTGGAAGGCTCAATTATGACAACTGTTTTTTTTTGTTTTGGGATACTAACCTTAACCCACACCTTGTCACCTTTAATTTTCGGCATTAGCGTCCATTTCCAAGTTGTCCAAAGCGACTTCCAAGTGAATATATTGATCTGTTCGCCAGCAATAATTTTGGGAAGAATAGCTCAAGCGCTAGTCATTCTCTAATTCTTGGGTAAAATTTTTGATACTTTTTGGTGTTGTGCTAGAAGGCCGATCAAAACGATGGTCACTGTCAAAAGATTTTCGATCATTCTTAAACCAATGGAACCAAAGAATTTGTTGCCCACATCTCTCCATCACTTTAATTAAGAACAAGATGCGACAAAACAAACGTAATATAAATTAAACCATGCTGTTATGAACTGGACATTTATCATTGGTAACTACAGTGTATGACAAGTGTGTAAAGAGTTAAAATTATGCTCGTATCTGACAGAATGCTCAAATTTTTGGCATGGGTTATGAACGAAACTCATATACTTTTGTGACAAGTCATTCTCATGGATCTATCATCTCATTCTTTGTATGTATATAGTTACTCTGTTGACTAGTTTTGCACTGCATCACTTATCTCATTGTTTAATATATTATTTTTTGTGTTTCATTTTCAACGCCTTCAAAAATATTTTCTTCTAGTTTCTACTGTGATCAGAATTGTAGTTTATCTTTTAGTTTTTGTGATAATGGCTTTTGTATAATCAATTTTTTTCTTCTGTAAAGGTGGAGATCAAGAAGGCTGAACCGCGCGACGGATCTGGTGGTAACAAAATGGGTGGAGACCCGTCGACCGCGTGGGGGCCTCCTCAAGCCCCAATGGGAATGATGCAGGGTCCTAATGGACAGATGGGTGGTCCTCCAATGAACATTGGCGCGCCCATGGGTCCTAATATGATGCAAAGCTACCAAGGTTGGGGCACCTCGCCACAGCAACAAAGCTATGCAAGCTATGGCACACCATCTGGACCAGGATCTTATCAAGGGTGGGGAGCTCCTCCAGCACCTCAAGGCCCACCTCCACAATGGGGTAATAACTACGGTGGACCACCACAACAACAAGGTTATGGTTCTTATGGTGAGTATGATTTATGCGAATTTTTTTGTATCTGTGCTGTGCTGGTCATTGCTGATTCCTGGAGTGTGGATATAAGTAATGGCAGATTTTATAGGACTATTTGTATCTTACATAATATTTTTCGCTTTTATACAGGTTTTGCAGTAAATATTCATATTAGTTATGCTCCTCCTTTTATATTATTATGCTTGTCTAGTTTTTTGCTAAATTTATGGTGTATAGTTTGTTGTTTGCTATGTTTAAAACACGATTTCACAAGTATTTTGCTTTTATTCGTAACTCAAAAGGCTTTTTTTAACTTTCCAATTAAGTCTAGTTCTAACCTCTATATCAAAATTTTTATTTTATTATTTTTTTTTCATCTCATTCTAGTCTTTCATATAACTGGTTGATTTTTTTAATATTCTCTTATCTTTTTCTGTTCTTTCTGTGTTTGGAGCTTTTGCTATCCTTCATAGTGGTCATTATTTATCAAAATTATTTATATAATACAATGAAATAAAGTTCCATATAACAAAAATATATAAATTATAACATATACAAACGTTGAAATTAAAACAAAACCTTCTCGGATGCTAAACTTCAACGTCTTAATACAACGCAAACTTCAACATTTTAATTTATACAATGAAGATGCTGATTAAAAATTGCAAGAAGTTGAGTTCACATTAATTAAACAGTGAATATTTGTTACTTAAGTTTTTTCTTTTAAATAATTTATTTGTATATTTAATTTGTTGTGTTTATTTGGCTTCGTTTGTTTCTTTTACAAAAAAATTAATATATAATTTTTTCTTTGTTAATTTCTTGTTCATCAAGGTATAAACGTACTTAGAAACGAATTGTGATTTTCTTCTCTTATTGTATGAAAAGGGTGTCTTTGTCTAGAACTGGTTTATTATAGAGACGTCATCAGTATTCTTTTTTTATTTTTACGACACGATATATCTCTTTTTGGCCGTCTGATATCTGACATTCTCATCACATTTCACACCATAGTAATTATTTTGTTTCGATGCTCTTATTCTTATCGTCTCAATATTATTCCTCTTTTTAGTTATCTGTATATCGTAATTGACTCTTAATTGCTTTGTAGATTGTTATATTTGTTGTGGTTCGTGTTTTTTGACAAGAGTAAGAAATTTATATAGGCAAATAGATTTTTCTCCGTACATTATTCTTAAATGTCAATTTCTTGAGGTTCCCTCTTCTGAAATAAATCCCAAGATGTAAATTCTGCACATTTTTTAATATTTCTATTTGTAGCTGTTAGTGTGTAGCTGTGTGTAGTGTGTCCTCTTGTTTATTTTTCTATTTTTAAATATTCCGTCTTATCCATATTCATGTACAAACTCCATATCACCTTCTACTTGTGACTTCACAGATGTCAGTGCGCATAGCAAAGCTGAAGTAGAATTGGGTTGTTCATGTAGTCAGAACGAACAACAGGTGCTGGACAACTTAAAAATTACAGTGTGTAATATCATAATAGGTTGGTTGTTTCTGGTACCAAATCGCATTTCTTTGGTTTTGTTGATGTTTATTTCTAGACCAACCTTCTTTGATTCTTCTTGTACTTTGTTTACTTGGAGTTGCATGTCCTGTTTTGTATGTGCTAGGAGGCATATATCATCAGCGTAATCTAGGTCTTCCAGCCTGTTTGTTAATCCCTAGTAAATTCCTCTATTAGAGTTTACCTTTGTTAGTACGGAGTCCAATACAATGTTAAATAGTATGGGGGATAAAACACAGCCCTGCTTTACTCCGTTTAGCATAGCTATTGGGTCAGATGTTATGCCGTTCTGTAGGATTTTGCTTTCTGTGTCACTGTAGAGTTCTTTGATGAGATTTACTATTTTTTCTAGTATTCCTATTTCCTGTATATGTGAGCGTGTCAAAAGCTCTCTTGAAGTCCACAAAGCACACAAAAGAGAGGAGAGTTGAATTCCTGTGACTGTTCTACAATTATTCTTAGTGTGTTAATTTGGTCCACGCATGATCTGTTTGGTCTGAAACCGGCTTGTTCCTTCCTCAACATTGGTTCTACACTGTTTGTTAGTCGGTTGTTTATAATTATTGCTGTTAATTTATTTATAGTATTCAGAAGTGTGAGTCCTCTCCAGTTTTCGCAATATCTTCTGTCACCCTTTTTTGGTTATCTTTATTATTAATCCCGTTTTCCATTCTTTGGGGAACTTTTCCTCTCTCCAAGCCCTTTTCAAGAGTGGTTGGATTAGCTCTGCCACTGTACCTGGCAAGCTTTTAACAACTCTGGTGGAATATTGTCAGGGCCGGCTGCTTTGTGTGCTTCAGTTTTTCTATGGCCATTTCTATTTCTTGCGTTGTTGGTTCGTTGGTGTTAATTCTCAGTTGGATATTGGGTATTAGGTTTTCTGCGTCTTCTGGTGGTGTTGGGACTGCACTTAGAGATTCGCTAAAATATTCATGCCATCTTTTGACTTGTTCGTGTGGCGTTGTAATATATTCACCTGTAGCACTTTTTACAATTGGTTGGTGGGTAGTATATCTTTTATTGGCTAGTTGTTTAGTGATATTATATAATTGTCTCATGTTTTGATGTTCATCGGCGACTCGCGCTTCTTCGGCAAGATTTTCTGCCCACTTTCTTTTGTCTTTCTTTGCTGCCTTCTTGACAGCTTTATTCGCTTCTCTATAACTTTCTCTAAGTCGGTTCTTCTCTGCTGCTGTCTTGGAATTTAGTAATTCTAGATTAATCTGTTTGCGACGTTCTATTTTATTCCACGTTTCTCTCGTAATCCACTCTTTCTGTACGTCTTTCTTTAGGCCCAGCACGTTTTCACTTGTTTCCACAAGGGCTTTGCTAATCGTTTCCCAATTATTGTCCTGTCTTTCGTCGATTTTGGATCTCAGCTGTCGTGCGATTCTACTTCGTCTCGTTATTTTGTAGTTTCTCAATGTTGAACTTTTTTCGAATAGGTTTGTTCAGTTCTTTTCTATTCCTAGCTATTTTGAATCTAATTTCGGCCATCATCAGGTAGTGATCACTGGCCGCATCTGCGCCTCTCCATGATCTGACATCTAAGAGAGATGTTCTCCATTGCTTACTGATTACAAGGTGGTCGATTTGATTGTAGGTGCGGTTATCTGGCGATTTCCATGATACCTTGTGGATTGTTTTGTGTGGGAACAAAGTCCCTCCAATGATTAGGTCATGGTTACCACATAATTCAATGAAGCGTTCGCCGTTGTTGTTTCTCTGGCCAGTGCCATGCTTTCCGATAACGTGTCCTAGGTTGGTGTTGTCAGTGCCAACCTTGGCATTGAAGTCTCCCATCATTATTTTTATATCGGATCTTTTAATTTGTTCTAATGTTGCTTCAAGGCATTCGTAGAAATCCTCTTTTTCTTGTTCTGTTGGTGCATAGCACTGAATCAGTGTTACCAGTCTTAATTTGGTCCTAATTCTTGCAGTCCTCGTTTAGTTTATATATTTGGTTCACGTGCCAATGTTTAAATAATAATAATTTAATCTGTTTTTGCCTCAATAATAAACTAGCCCATGACCACCCATTTCATACAATATGAGACTTGATTTCATTTTGATTTATTTTTGACATATTTGAAATATTATTCGTCATAAGTTCATAAGTTCCAGTCCTTCTTCCATAGATTCGCTATGGAATTTATTTCCCAACATAATAAATGTGAGACCTGGCATTATCATTCATCAAAATATCCTTATGGGCACATGTGGAGATACACGTTCTTCTAAAATAGCCAATAACTTTAAGCATTTAACTGGCAGATTTCCACTGAGAACATTTCGTAGTACCAGAAAAAATACTTATATCCAAACCATCATTTCCTTCCTTCCAAATAATTTCGTTTGTGATCAATTATATTGTGCACATCATGCATGCACCATATACGGGCGCATCATAAAATAAAATTGGGACTGAACATTGACTAATATATATTGGAGAAGTGTATAATTTTGCAAATGAAAATATGAGAAAAAAAATAATTGAACCATAAACAGTGGAAGGAGATTAAAATATGTATTTTCTATCATCATTATCATCGAGGCCTTTATTTCTGGTGGAATGTTTGCCGCTCTTAGAGCTCTTTAATTCGTTTGTCGCGCATTCTTCTAGTGTATTGTAGATCTTTCAGTTTCTGGCTTCCTTCTAATGACTTTCTCAATTAGTAGGTTGTTTTTCCTTCTCTGTGTGTCCCAGCTCAGTCACGGCCCTTTAATAAATCAACTATATCTTCTACCTTCATTATGTCTCTATTTTATGGTGCATTATTGTCATTACTCCTTTTTCCATCTTATCGCTATCATAATTTAAGAATATTTAAAAGGAAAAACCTGTAAGAGGAATATCTAGGAAGAATCTTTCTTCACCTTTATCTGCAAGGCAAATTGTCTCAGCAAAATATGAAACTACTGGTCTGTGTGAAACTCTGTATATTTTCAGTTTTGTATTTCTGGATTCTGGAAGAATTATTTAAATTGTTGAACTCTTCAAATGTGTAGATTTCTTTCTTGATTTACCCAGTATTTTTATCCTTTCTTTTAGGGCAGATAATTTTGTTTTTCCTTTCGTTAATTTCTAATCTCTTTTCTGTTCTTTATTTGTCAAGATTGTTAATACTTCTTTCAATTTTTTCTTATCTTTTGGGATATATTTCATATAATCCTGCTGCACTTGACTGTTCCTTATACCACTATGTTGAATAGTGTAGTTGATAGAGAATCTCTTGTGTTTATATGGCAATTGTGTTTGTGTTTTTTTCTGTTGCTATTTTAATTGGAGATCCATCCAGTTATTTTTGTTAGGTTGATTATTTTTGCTGTATATCTTGATTTTTCATTTCATTAAATATTTTATTTCTTCCAATATACAATCAAAAGCTTCTCAGAAGTCTCTGAAAATGGCGTGTTCTTGGCATTTCTCGATTGTTTGTGTAATTATATGGATCGCATCTGTATTAAATTTGTCTTCCCAGAATCCTTGCTACAAGTCTTAAATTTTTTCCTCTGTGAATTGAATGAGTTTTTTGTGTGATGAAGGATGTCAGGATTTTTTATATTTTCTCGACAGTATCATAATTTCAACAAAATTATCTACTTATTTTAAATCTATATTTTACTCCTAAAAATGAGAGTTTCAAGTCATTGTAAAATATTTTCTTTTATAATTAACATAATTTGTACAATCATTAACATTCATTACTGAATATCAGGATTTGGTTATTTTTAAAATTTAATATAGAAATGAAATAAAGATATTTTGTGGGATTAGGTAAAAGGTATAAGGATTAGGATTATATTTCAATAGTAATTATACTGTTACCTTCCACAAACTAATATAATGGCATTTTACCTGTTTCATACAAAATTTTTATCATTTGACCTTCAATTTGAATAGAAAATTTTATGACTTAGATAATCATAAACTTTTCCAAGTATTAATTGTAAACAGTGATTTATTCTTTTGTTTGGTAAATAGCATGGATATTACCTGGCCAGTTTCATTTTAAAATTCTTTATTGGGATTTAGAGGAATTGTCCATAGAGAACAACATTTTATTGAAAAATAACTGATTCCGAGAAGTAAATTTTTAATAATATCTCTAATAACTCCTTTAGTGTGTTTTCTGTAGTGATAAATATGTACATATTGTTGCTATATTCGACAAACTATCCTATAAGGTCTGGTTATTTTTTAAATTTTAATATAGGAAAATAAATCATTCCAAATAAATAGACGAATCGTCGTCTCGGAAGACGGGAAGATAGAATTTGTTTAAAGTTTAGAAGTAGGTAAATAATCAATAATATATAAAAATATAAATCTAATGGTATTTTGAACACGTTGTCTAAGGATTCGAGATCATCGTTAGACGAAATTATATTAGAGACGAATATACCATATCTGTTTATCTCACTATTAGTCTGTTGGATTATTGAGATATTTTTTGTCTCGCCTGTTTTTAACTGCACATTTACGACATCCAAAGGACTACCTTTCCGAATTTTACGCAGCCTACCAGTACAAAAAAGGTTACACCATAAAAGAAATACCATAATAATGAAAGTAGTTTGACAAATTTTCTGCATCTACTGAAACTGCGGCGATCTCAGTTCTCTATTTAAAATAATATATGCCCAGGAGGTACATGGGTGCCGTCCGCATATTGTAAAAACGTTAAGAGAGGATGTACATGAACGCTTTGCGCAGCGAAAGGGTTAATGGTATACATTAAGACCCTCTAGTTCCATGACCGTTATCGATCGTTGGAAATCTTGTTGGCTACCATATTCGCTATCGTGACTTTACTGACAGCAGCTCTAAATAATGATTTAGTCGATTGTCCATACCATGATCCAAGATTTTTCAGCTATGATCTTCTACCGGGCTACGTTTACCTTGGATCTCCCCCTGAATGATATATTCTGATGATTTTCCTGAAAGTTCATATTTTTCAGGGTGTTTCATAATGTGGCTGTAAGTATTCTAGTTTGCCACTCTTTATTATATTGCCAGTTTGAGGAGGTTCAGCCTCCTCATTTCTAACTTTGTCGACCCAGCTTTTTTTAAAATGAAATATTTGTGTGGTTTGTAAGGAAGGATTATTCCATGGCCTGCTTTAATTCGTGATTTTGTTTTTCAATGGCTCTAGTATTCCTGTTCCAAAATAATTTTATTTTCCCATATTCCTAAAATCGAAGAATTAAAATGAAGAATGGTTAAGAAAATTAAGGAACTAGACAGCGAAAGGAAATTAAAACAAACTATGCAAATTCAAAAAATGTCTTACTCAAAATCAGGGCATATTTTTTATAAAAACTCAAAATAATTTGATTCCATCTAATAAAAATTATGGAAATCGTTCCATTTGAGTTATAATGGTTACCATTACATGAAATCATGTCAAATCATATTTTTTTATTCTCTATTATTTATGTGAAGTAGACATATGCAATGTCCAATTTGATAATTTCGTACTTAAACACTGAAATGTAACATTTTATACTGATGGCAAAAATGCAATACCTATGACAAATATTTTTTTAAATATTTATTAATGGTATACATTATAATATTCTTATTATTTGGTAATATTATAAACAAATTTGCAATGTAATTTTTTTCCGAAAAAATTATTAATGAGTGGCTGCTTCTTGATTTTCTATACACTCAGTTGCTCTATAGGGCATTGATCGAGTTAAGTTATCTATATTATATTGCAGAATACTCATCCAGATTCTTCTTATGGCATGCCACAGGTCTTCTAAGTCTACAGCAAGATGTGGCAATTGATTTAGGTTTCGATCTACCATATCCTACACATGTTCGATAGGTGACAAATCAGCTGATCTTGATGGCTACTCCAAAGTCGCTTTGTTCTTCTTGTATGAACTTCGTGGTTTCACTGGCAATATAAGGTCTTGCGTTATCCTGTTGAAAGATTGCATTTTGAATGATTTGTCGGTCGGGATGTAAAACCGGTTGCAGTACTTCACCAATATACACTCACCGGCACGAAAAACGGAGCACTTGCATTTTTAAAATAAAAATTTTAATTCTCTTTAAACTTTTATTATTATAATAACGTAAACACAAACGAAATAAATTGTTTTAAGTAATTTCTCATAAAACTTATGTGCTTATCCGAAAAAGAACCACAAAAATTAGAAATAAAGAATACACTATTCTTATCACTTTTAAAAGTACAAAGATAGCTGTTGGTATTCTATTGTTATTCTTTTGTTTTTGTTGATGTGAGTAAACTTTCTAGTTGAATCAAGTGTCACAATTTAAAGATGAAAAGAATAATGTTTGTAAATCCCTAAACAGCGGCTGCTATTGTTGCGTTGCTCAAGACAGAAGTGAGTGATATGTTGCTCAGAAGTATCAAATATCCAATAGTACTATGCACCGTATTTTTACACGTTTCTTGGCAATCAGCTTACAGTATACGACCGGGAACCGGTCCCCAACGAAGAACTAGTGCCCGTGATGATCGCTTTACCCTCTTACAAAGTCTATGAGATCGTGGTTCCACGGCTGTACAACTACAAATCCGAAATCAACTTCAGTACGTCCGGAATACTAACGTAAGTGAACGAACACTTAGATGAAGGCTTGGAGAAGCAAATTTAAACAGTAGCAGACCTGCAACAGGCCTACAATTTCTCAGGCGCCATCGAGTTGCGCCGCTTCAGTTTGCCAGAAACCATTTTTATTTTACTATAAATAATTGGATCACGTTTTATTTACCGATGAGTCCAAGTTTACTTTGCGGTCTCCAGATGGCCGTGAGAGAGAAATAGAGAAGACCACATGAGCGTTTTGTTGACGGAATGTACTTTCAGTCCTAGGGTAGGCTCAATTATAATGTGGGCTGGAATTTCTATAGAGGCACATACGGAATTGTACATTATTCCGAGTTTCTCTATAACAACTGCCACGATGACATTCTCCAAGATTTTGTTAATAATGCCAAGCCTCACAACGCGAGAATTCAACTCAACAGTTTTTAAATGAATAAGAATTCCTGTAATGGATTGGTCAGCATTGAGTCCAGACACAATCCCAATCGAATATATTTGGGACATGCTTGGGCGAAGGATATGAAGTCGTATTCCTGTCCCTTTAACCTTAAATTAGTTACAAGTAGCTCTTTTAGAGGAATGGTAAGTTATTTCTCAACATGACATTTCTTATTTGATTTTAGGCATGCCAAAGATAATTCAGGCAATAAATCGAGCACATGGAGGAAACATTCATTATTAAAATCAGATTTTCTGGACACATCAAAAAAGTTTTCATAAATTGAGCTCTCTGCCCCATTCCAAGTAATCTTTTTTTAACTGTTCTTCTTGTGACTGCCCGTCCTGTAGCTGCAACTAAATCATCTCTTACTTAATGTCCATTGTCCCGTGTATTTCTGAGAGCAAGAAGTCTAAGATGGTGTAAACCACGGTTTTGTAGTATTTTAGGACGTCCAGATACTCCACGACGAAGTCTCATCATTGGACCACTTCTTCCAAACTCGTTTAACACCATTGATAGATTACCTTCAACTCTTCGTAAAATTTCTCGTAAACCAAAACCGGCCTCTTTCATGCCTACAATGCGTTCTTTATCGAAGTCGCTTAAATGACGAAATTGCAGACGACCACAAACTCTTGCCAGTTTTAAATTTTTTTGGTAAATCAAAATCAATCGAAAACGAGTAAAAATTACAAATTTAACTAAATTTAAATACACAGAAATAAACTTTATCACATATATTTTTATGTAAGACTCACAAAGAAATACTTTTGATCCAAATAAATAACTGTATACAAAGTGTGACATTTTTTTGGCCATCTGAATATTTAGTGAAAGGCTTCACAAAACAGTTTATAAGAAGTTCTTACAGATTAGTCACAAAATACTAACTTGACGACCACAATTTGGATGTGTACTTTCTAACAGAAAATAACTTTTCTTCTAGGATCATACTTTGTTGTGTTTCATTTACTGCATTCTCAATTTTCTGCAATATTTTTATGTGAGATATAACGTTTCCGAAACTCTTGTCTAGTTTTAATGCATACATTTAAAGTGTATAAACCTATTGGGTAGTAACCACTCTACTTTTTACATCTACTATCAACATCTAAAATTTGCTTTTGGTTGCTTTTTAGCTTTAAAACTAATTCTTTATTTTCGTTTTATCTTTGATTCATAATTATTGCACAGGTCCAAGTGCGGGTAGTGGAACAGCCAGTTGGAATAGTTGGAATATGGCTCAGAGTAACGCTTCGACTGGCCCCTCAGGTAAGAGATATTTTTTGAAAAAAATAGTATCTGAGGGTGCTATTTTATTGTCTACAACCGATTATAGGATGATGGTGCTAACATGCTCTGGCTAACCTATATTGCTTGTATAAATCTTCCTTGATAGTTGAAAATTATTGGTGTGTGGTGTTTCTCGGGAATATTTTGTTTGAATTAACCAGACACTTGTGTATTACACTCTAAATGCTTTTGTCTAAACGAGGGAATATATTAGGAATTTCAATTTATTTTAATATTCATATTCTTTTACTATCATCAATGTAAGCAGAAACTGGTATTAGATCAAGACGACATGTTTATAGTTTCGCTAAGATACCTACAAACTACTTACACACTTTTTGCGTTTAGTTTACATACACTTTAATGAAAAGAAATATACATTAAAGTTATATATACATATACATAAAAAAGTTAAAATAAAATGATCTAGAAGTACCTAAACATAAGCCAATCACAATAAACAAAACAATGTTCAAATTTGAGCTATTGTGACTGTTCAGAATCAAATGAATTCAAATCAAATATATTAAATGTTTTGAATAGATATAGATCATATATATTTTTGCTGAGATTTTGTATACTCGGTCCTCTGATCCTAGTCCCAACTGCCTACCCATAATTTTTTGCTACGTGGTTAAGTTTTGACCCACTGGCAGTGGCTGAAAATTACAGTACTGTACGAATAAGTGGAATCATAGGCTGTTTTAATGAAAAAACAGTTTATTTAGAATAAAATATATATTTTGACGAGACGAATTAGATTCTATGAGCTTCTGACAGTTCTCCTTTCATCTCGAAACCAAACCTGAATAACCGCTGCTATTATTTTTAATTTTCTAGTACAGTCGATTTTGCGCAATGCAAATGGCCCATAAATTTTTAATGGGGTTGAGGTCTGGCCATTTACCGGACCAATCTATAACATACATTTTTTTTTTGACTGTTCATCATGGTTTTAATTAGTACCAAAGATCCAACCCCCTGTATGAAAAACATCCCCAAAACATTTTTTTGACTGGATGTTTTATGGCTAAATCATGATGATGTAAGGATTTCATTGTCAGACTTGGTGTCGAAGTACCTGGACCGTAAAGTGAGTTTCATCTGTAAGTACGACTTTTCTCCAATCGTCTACAGTCCAATTAGAGTATTTTTGGCCCAAAATAGCCCTTGTTTCTTCATTTGGTCAGTTAAAAGCTATTTTTTCTGTGGACGTATTGCCCTTCTACTATTCTCCAAAATCTTTTCCGAACAGTTGAGTGATTTATTACTACACCTGATGCTGCTAGATCTTGGAGCTCTTGGCGGCTTGTTTTTCTTGGGTCCAATTTGCTCGTTTGAAGCAAAAAATCTTTCATCTGCTGGTGTTGTTGTTCTCTGTCTTCCACATGTTCCTAAACTTTTCACATCCATTGATCCAGTTTCTGACTCACTCCACACGTTCTTGCGATTTCTCTTTGTGACATACGATTGTGTTCAATTAACGTGATAATCTTTTCACGCTTCCTAGGCGTAATATCCGTCACCAATTACCGAAAACAACACAAAATAGTACAAAAGAATACTGGGAAGTGTCTTAAGGTTATGTTTTTAATACTTGGTAAATTGTAAATGTGTAGATATTTAAAAATGTCACAATGATTCCATCAAGTTGCAGAATACTGTACTATACAACCAAGCGTACATGCTCATAGCCAATATTTAGACAAAAAAAATATTCACATGCAGTTATTAACAAAATAAAACTGCATCAGCTCAAACAAAAGTTTATTTTTGAAATTTTAGTCTTCTATAGAATAGTATTTTTAAGTGGAATGTTTTTAATGAACATAAATGAATGTAAACTCCCATTATTTATGATTATTCTTCTTTTTTCAATGAAAGAAGTCTGCAACAGTAAGTTTATTTGAACTATTAATACGGGTAGGTATGTTTCTGACAATGAATATGTCAAAATATTCCCAAGCTGAGTGAATGGTCTATATCTTATATTTTTTTGCTATTCATATCCCACGGGTTGTTCCTAAGATTGTTTGTCTTTAGACGGTTTAGTTTAGTTAGTTTATTTTTTCTTTAATTTCAGTTACAACTACAATTCTGTAGTTACAATGTATATGATCTTCTCACATCTAGAGAGGTTATAAATAATTAACTCATTTTCAGAAAATTTTGACATTTTCATGTAATTTTCCAAAAATTGTTTTTTTTTAAGTTGTGTAAATTATAATTTTAAAATGTGATACCAATTTCGTTTGACGTTTCTAACAATTCATTGCAAAATAATATAAGACTGATATCACTTATTTTTTTTAACATTCCTTTATTTTTTTTATCTTTCAAAACTACCTCTATCTATTATATTTGCATGAGTCAAGAAAAAGGTCAAGCGAGTACTTAATTGGTCAAAACTAAGGTAAGTTAAAAAATATTGAAAATTAAAGATACACTTAAGACATTATAGCTTATTTGTCTTCTTCCAAGAACTTGTAAATAGAACTTTCGTCCAGGCTGTCACATGAGGACTACAGTCTAGTAAAATATGTATGTTGATTAGGAGGTATCCGTGTAAGGAGTTTCATCATATCCTTCCTTTTTGTAGAAGTTACGGGTCTGGATATCAATGACGGCAGTGAAATATTTGTAAGGATTTCCCTATTTTTTCTTTTGTTTTACAAATCCGTCACAAAAACTTTTTCTTCTTTGTTAGTAATTCTGCTTGTTCATTGGCGGATTAATACCTCTATGGAAGGTTGTCACTCCATCTTTTGCGCGGTCGTCCGGTACTTCTTCTGTCGATTGGTTCCTTATCTCTTGCTATTTTGACGACACGGGTCTCCTCCATTCGGCTTATGTGGTTATTACATTATTTTTTGCTATGTTGTGCTATTAATTTCTACACTATACGTTTTTCTTGTAATTCACATCTTCTTCACATTTACTTCTAATGTCTTCACTTCTCTTTCGATCTCTCAGCGTATTTCCTGTAATTCTTCTTATTATTCTCATCTCTGCAGTTTCCAGTAGCCTTTGCGTTGTGGCTGTGTCGGGTCTTGTTTCTGAGACATATGTCTTTATTGGTCTTACAGTGGCTTTATAAATTCTTGACTTCATCTGTGTCAATGTGTCTGTTTCGCCATATAGTGTTATTAAGGCATCCTGCCAGTCTATTTGCTTTTTGTACTTGATCTCTCACTTCTTTGCCCATAGCTAGACAGTGTAATTCCCAGTGTCTATCAATATTGCGTCGTCTGCGTAACAGAGTATTTTGATTTCTTTGTCTCCCATTCTGTATCCTCTTAATTTGTTAACGGTTTTGATGATTTCATCCATGATCAAATTGAAGAGCTTGGGGCTTAATGAATCCCCTTGTCTTATTCCGCTGCCTATTTCTATAGGTTCTGTAAGTTTAAGGTTTTATTAATTAATGTGTCACAAAAACTTAGTGTCTGAATTAGGGGCCTTATAATACAGTGAACCATTTTGATTTTTGATGTCTCAACCATTGCACGAGACAATTAACCCGAGAAAAATTGCCCTTTTCCCTGTGTTGCTTTCTTTTGGTAATTGAGTATTCACTATTTTGTAGACCATATTTTTTTCTTTTTAACGTCCCTTATTAGTCCAAACCACCCAAGACCGATTTATTGGAAAATTCTGAAGACTTCTGTCTTGTTCCGTACATACATGTATGCCTTTCCTGTCTTATGGTCATGTACTCTTAAATTATAGACATATGTATTACATTTATAGTAGACAATTTATATTTATAGTTTCGGCAAGACCAAGGCCTTTTGAAGGCCCAAAATAATAAGTATTTCTCCTTCGTTTTATTTACAAAATTTATGTTCCTCTGCAGGCGTTCTGACTTTTTTTTGCAGGAAATTTAGTTATTTTGTCTTATTTTTAGTCAGGTCCATCTTCACTAGCTTCGAGAAGCTCCTTGCTTTACAATATTGTGAGTGGCTGAACTTTTCTCCTCTGCATACTTTTTATAGAGATGTCATACATGTTTTCGAATATTTCTATAGGTCTGGGTTAAGATATTTCTTATTTGGATTGTGTAATGTTTTTCGTAATTGGGAGCTGTTTTAATTAATACGCTGTCTGAATCAAGGTATATTTTTTGTTAAGGATTAGCGTTCTATATACACTCAATAATTATATAAATTTTATATTCAATAATTATATAAATAAACTATCTCATTAAATGAACCAATTCCAAACATACATCAAAAAGTAAACAATTAACAGATGCTGTGTGAATTGCTGTGGGAATTTGCATTTCAGTGGTCACATCTTAATGCTAACCACAAGTTAGCACTAAGTTATTTAGTTAACACAATGTTATTTAGTTTACAGTTTTACTAATGTCTATATGTATTATACGCTCCTTAATTCGAATCTTCTAATTTTTAACAAAGATTTATTATTGAATTATTTTTGTGGACAATGGTATATATCGAAACTATAATTAACACCAATTAACAAGAATAAACCTTAAAACACAAAATATTTGAATTTCCTAATACTCACATTTCAAATGGGCCCTATCGAAGCTGTGCCATTCAAAATATAGGAATGTGCACAGTCAAAATGCGGCCAACATAAAATATTCTACAATAGGTCACTGAATGTTTCTGTCAATAAACATAACAGTATTACCCAAGTAGAAAACACTATAAAACTGAGATATATTAGTAAAGAACAACCTCATCTGAGATACGCTTTAACTAGACTAAATACTCTGAAATATATAACTTGTAAGTCTGTAATAACTTGCAACTGCAAACAGTCCCTTACTCAACTGGAGAAGCACAATACAGTGTCTTTGGTATGGGTACTATGGCAAAAAGGAATTATATGAATTTGCTCATGGTAAAAAATGAGCTAGCACAGATATATAACGGAGATCCTACGTCATGTGATGCTATATGCTGGGTTTATTGGCAATGGTTTTTTGCTCGTGCACGATAACGGGA